ATCAGTGATGGTTGTGTAACTTGAATTAACTGAATTAAGTCAGAGTGATGATCCAGAGGGTTTTCTGCCTTTCAGAGATCAATTTGCAAGATTTTACTTACTTACTTACTTTACTGCTTTCAGAAGTCTGTAAAAAGATCGAACTTTGTAACAATCGCACAACAGAGGGGTGCAGTCAGAATATACCACTGCTTTCTTGAGTTTAAGGTAGCTCAACTCTAACACCTGTTCTACCACAGCTAATTCATAATTTGATTGAATTAATTTCTAATTTGACAACCACACACATAGCAGGTCTAAAATGTAACACTATTTCAGTAGTATAGACAGGAACTGTTATTAGGTTGGATATTTTCACTTTATTAAAAATATTTTGAAATAACTTCAGTATTTGGACAAATAGAAGTTTATTTAGGTTAATGATGTCATTCAATATGTGATAGATGTCTATAAACCAAAATGTTGTTTATGCTGTAAAATCAGCTGTGTTAATCAGACTTGATTCATGTCCTAGCATAAAAATATTATCCCTTATCTTAGATGCTGAGTCTTCATTGTTCGTTTGCTGTTTGACTGATATGCTGATAATTAAGGTCTTATTTTCCCCTGAAACACAGGTAAAAACGGGGTGGAAAATGAAGGAGGTTCCGTTTATATTGATCACTAACTGAATCTATGTAGGCTCCATAATGCGCTGTATAGACTGTTTACAGTATGTGTTACTTCACTGCATGGTTTCCTCCTGTGGATTTATTTACATAACTTTATGAATTCTAAAGTTTTCTATAAACACTTATATGATCTATACTGCCCAAAGAGACCAGACCAGATGTTCACTGCTTACTTCTTATTCAGTCCGGACCAGTACGTGCTTTTTGCCACTCGCTGGCTGTAATTGCAGTGACTCCGTCCATCATGACATCATGTGCATCTCCTCTATAGGCTGCATTAAAATGAAAAGGAAGCTTTAAGCAGCCTGTTGTAACACAGTCCAAAACGTTGATTTAAACACCAGTCCTGCCTCTGACACAGCAAATAGCTAATCATAGTTCAGGAATTTGGGGTGGCCAATCAGATTTCTAGGGTGGCCCTGGCCACCCCTTGGCTCTGCCCCTGCTGCACACAAGATGTAAGAACACAAACAGTAAACTCTAAGTAGCCTCTCTGGGATTATCTATAAATCATGCAACTTGTAAAATCAGCCATCATGCAGACGCTGTAACCGTTTCCAAACAATCACTCTGACAGTACAGACTAAATAAGTATGTTTTCATTTCTGCATTTAGGGGACAACCAAAGCAGTATTAGGAATGAAACGCTTACAAGGATTACTGGAACTTAAGGTGGCAGCTTGCTGGCAGAATGTCACGCACTACAGACGAATCTCAGATAAGCCTGATGTATGATTTACCTGCGTGGCCCCACTGATATCTATGGAGATGAGCCAGGGTGTCGTATTGGCCCCGGTGTCACCTCCACAACACCAGTTCCCTGCCATGCTGATGTCTGTATCTATGCTAACACGGGGATCAGTAGGGGTAGAAAGCTCATCTGGCTTTATCTTATCACTCTTCTACTTCACCACATCACATGCTGTGCACATTAAAAGACTGCAACCCCCTTCATCTTTCATCTTCTTACTTTTCCTGTATTTCACATTTCTACAATTCAACTTCTGCATCAACTTCTGTGATGCTTTTATTAAATTATCCCCTACTGCTATCTAATGTCAAATGCTAGACCTGGTATTGAATTACAAGAAGAGCTCAATCACAGTTTATTCCAGCTCCTCACATCCTGAAAAAGTAGAAAGCTTTGGATATTTCCTCTGTGATAACTTAGAAACCAAGAAGTCGGATCAAAGGAGATCCCAAAAATTGGCCATGTCTTCTATGTCTGTTTGGTTGAGAACAGCTCTGTCCAGACAGTAAATCCTGTCTGACTTAACTAACCTCCCGCCTTGTCCCTCTTAGCCTCTTTGTCTCCATCGCGCCCCCCTCCCTCCCGGCTGGGATGATTATTTCTTATCATGTATTTATTTGTTTAATCCACCCCTCCCCCCACAACACTTGGCGGCCCCTCTGCCTATGCACGAGCTGCCTGTCTGGCAGCGTGGACCCCCTCATCCTTCTACCTCCTCCTCCTCCTCTTCCCACTTGTCCATATCCATTCCCCATCCCATCCCCCACCCTGCTCCAGCTCCAGCCACAATGGGCGGATGTTGCTTTCAGAGACTCGCAGCTTCATTCGGGGGGAAAAAGACACCCCCACCTCTGCACTCCATCCTTACATCCCTCCCACTTGCATGTGGCCACCACTAGCCAGCCTCTATGCACACTATAAATAATGGATGCATTAGCATGCATGAATATCTTTTTTTGAAGGGGGGTGGGAGTGCCTTAATTCATTATTAATCCCCTTGAAGGAAAAAAAATGGGCCGTGGCTTTGGTGGAGCAAGGTCCCTGCTAAACTCTGCTTTTGGGACTTTGCTTATCAACACTGTACTCCTTTTTTTCTCCCCAAATTGGTGACCTGCTCCACCCCCCTGGACCATACCCAGCCCCCTCCTTATCATAGCTCCTCCTTTCTAAAACCTCGGACTCACATCTCTTAAAAACACATCTGGAAGGGTGGCGTAATCTGTCTCTTTTATTTTTTGGAGGGTGGGGTGGGGTGGGGTGGGGGGTGGGGGGGTTGTGATCCTAGGCTGAATGGTGAGGCTGATGGTTGATTTGGGTGATGTGAAAAAGAAGATGGACTCTGCTGCTCCATCAGCCGGCCCTGGCTGTATTTCCCTAATGTAAATTGGTTGGAGAGCTGGGCTCGGCTGTGGGAGGACAGAAGTAGGGTTTAAAGGTGGATGCAAGGGGGGGCTGTGTACAAACCTAGTTGGAGAGCTTTAAGTCGTGTATGCGTGTATGTGGGTGGGTTGAAGGGAATTATCTGTTATTTTTAACCCGGGAACACTATGTCGTATATTGAGGACATTAGATCAAATACATGGGTTAGAGGTTAAGCGCATGTGTTTCACAGAGATAAATTACAATTCAGCGTATTAACAAAGTATGTGGGTTTGTGTGTCTATATGAGTAAGAAAGAAAGTGTGTTATGAGTGTGTTGATGAGTGTGTCCCTTTGTACCACACACGGCCCTCTTCCACCACTAGGTTGCACTGCCTGCCTCGCATGCCTCTCCTCCTGCTTGCCATAGCTCTTTGACGAATCCAGCCAATCACAGACCTTTACAGCAGAGCCACATGCGAGTTTCTTCCTATCAGAAATTATCTCACACACACACGCACACACACACACACACACACGCACACACACACACAAGAAGGTACACTTATGCACAGACCTACAAACTGGATATCTGCCTGTTTACTCACATTCATACAACGTACATAATCCTGTTTGTTAGAATCACCATGGCATATAAATATATCTAATCCACATGACAAAGAAAGATACAGCTTCATTATGCCCGTGTGTATTCTGTTCTTTCAGAATATTTATACATTTTGTGAAATAAAGAATGAAAAAAAACAACGTTTCTTACCAAGAAATAACGTTAAATAATGAATTTTAAGTCAGGATGTTTAGACTCAGTATATGACCCGGAGATGTGGTCAGAAACGTAGTTATCTGGGCCTTTTGTTTCTGTCACACTTTTATTTTAAAGGTCAACAATTCATTTCTACAATCAACCAATACTAAATCTGGTCTGGTATTTCTTTGAGTCAATAGATGGACAAAATATCAAAATCAATGAAATGCTGCATATTTGTTTAGAGCTTGGGTTTACTTACAGAAAATCTGAGGCCCAGACAGACGTTTTATTATGATTGATGGTGAGAAAGGGACGACATGTTTTGTTAAAATATCATAACTTGGAATTCACTAATGTGCAAAAACATGCCCGCTAGTTATAGCACAACAGACCACATACAAACCAGGCTGGCATTGGCCGGGCCTGCAGGAAAACTTTCTAATTATTATTGAATAAAATAAATTCTCTGATCTTTGTAACGTTGCACTCACAGTGGCCGTTGGGTCACTCCACTGCTGTTCGTCAGGCTGGATGATGGCAGCAGGGGTTGTTATTTTGACACAGAGAGGACCTGGTCTCTGGAATGTTCTCAGCTGAATGTTTGGATCTCAGGGTCTTCAGCATGAGGCTGGGAGCTGCTTTGTGAGCTGGAGGCACCACACTGTGCCTCTGAACTTCACTCAATCCCTCTTAAATTCCTTTTACTGGGCAGGAAATTGAAATATTGTGCAGTATTGGCATGCTGATGGTCATCTATCACAGGGGCCTGCAAGCAGGGCAGGTTAGGGTAAGAGGATATCGTCTGTAGATCAGAGATGGACTGCTGGGCCTGGGTTCAAAGGTAAAGACGAACGTCCTGGGTGAGGAAACAGGATAGCACTCTTTGCAGGAGTCCACTCTCAAACTGGCTGGCTTCACCCATCATGCACATAACCTTAGTGTGCTTTCACCACATCATTAAAGAGCATTTAGTCTCCCCAAGGCACCTGGCTCAGAATTATTGGTCTTCATTGAGTCTAAGTTGACTTAAATGTGTGTCAACGGACATGCACACGTCATAAAGCAATAAATGGCTTAAAACTTAGGAGCATGTATTAGTTAAGAAGTAAAAAGCATCGTCTGTGAGCTCATTTTAAACAGATTAAGAAAGAAATAAACCTGATTGTAGAATTTCAGCTCCAGGAGTTTTTCTTTACATGATCTTAATTTGGCATCAACAGGTGTCCAAGGACTCTGTGATAAACTACAGTGTCTTTTGAGCATGTTCATGTTCTAACATATTGTGATGCATATAGTCAAACAGACATTTTGACTGATGATGCCGCCTTCATCGTTGCATAATCGTGACCGTAAATGCGCACAGCGTAGCAGGAAATGAAACTCGCCGGCGCATCACAGGGGGGTAGGATGATGTGGATGTGACTGGTTATATAAAAGTATAGGGCACAGTTGGAGTGAACCAGATGGGATGATGGCTGTCATTTTAAAGACGAACGCGCTTTTCTTGTCTGCCTGTGGAAATTTCGCCTCTGCGTGACCTTGTGAACTTGCCTTCCGTGTGACCCTCGACAATCCCCCCCTCTCCGACGGCTCCCAGAACACCCCTCCACATCCTTGTGCTCATTTGAGCAGGCTATTACCCAGGCAGGAAGTGACATCAACGGGTCCAAACTAAAAATATGTCGCAGGACGGGCTGTCTAGGATGTCCAGGACCGGTGTTTGTAAAGAAGGATGCCATGCACCGGCTCTACAGAGTGATGCTCATTGAAGGATGCAGGAGAGAGCGCCACACAGGCGAGCCAGACAGACGCACTGGAGGCTGAGTGAGTCGCCTGCTGACTGAGTGCTTAAATTCCGTCACTTTCATTCATGCAAGTTCAGACATGGTGCCACACTTTGCCCTGTCTGAAGTCTGTGACGCAGCGCAGAGTAGAGGCGATAAGACTTATTTAGTGCATTAAGGAATAGTGTCCGTGTCGCTGTTATGAGACGGGAGTGAGGTGTGTGCAGCGATGGAACAGACAACACTGTTTTGACTGGAATAGCAGGAGGGAGGAGTGAAATCCGCGCGGGGTTTATATGTGCGCTTTTACGCTTCTTGATCCAATAAACTGGACAGATTATACAAAGTCAGATTTGGAATGACAACACTCATAAAATGAAGCGACCACGCTGAAGTTTACCAAGTTGAATGTGCGTTCTGTGGCTTTGTAATCGTCCTCTCAGCACATGAATGACGTCTATTTTTATCCGTCCAGTGCGTGTTTGTGTCGTCCTCACCAGGGAAGCTCTGACAGACCCTGCCGTGCGTCCAGACTGAAAGTGCTGCAGTCACGTGGTGTCTGCTATTATCCACCCGCACGTCAGGTACAGCCTGCTGCTGTGTGCAGGCAGTGAGGGAGAGTTTAGGTCCGTAAGATATGTTAAGTAAAGATTTAAGTAAGGATTATTTTTTAAACATATTCAAAAACATCAACCCATTTTTTTTTTTTTTTTAAGATTTCATTCTGTTTAAACACATATAAATAAAAACATAAAACAACACTGGACAATCAAGAGTGTGTTACATCACCGTTATGCACTAAAAAATTACAGTACATGTTCTCACTAAAGTGTGTATCATAGAGAGAGTGGACAGATGGACATTATTTCCGCAGATGATGAACAGGTTGCTTTCATCAGCTCACCACCTGCTGTCCTGATTTTCAGCACTTAGTCTGAAATGATGTGGAGCGGTCATAGTTTACCTTACAGGTAATAATTATTTATAATATAATACAGACACATCATCAATTATACCTTAAAAAACGTTTCTTGTAAAAGCAACAACACTGCTTCCTGCTGATAACATAACAGCAAATGTCACCTTTATCCTCATAGTACTTTTTACATCCTGAGATAAGGAATGGACATTTAGATTTGATGCATTAATTAGGTTATTGACACATGTCTTGGAAGCAGCATTGTGTTGATGTCTTACAATACAACAGTGTTATTAAGAGTGCTTATACCTCCCATCTGTAAATAAATGGCATTGTTTCAGCCTGTAAATTTATAGCACACACTTACTTGCAAGAGTTTCCAAGGGCACTTGAGCATAATAAGCGTGTAGGGGCCTTGTTACACTTCATTGCACATGGAGCCCACTGCTTTTTACATCAGTGAATTGTCCTATTGTAAGCTAAAATTAAAGACTTATAGTAAGCCTGCAGGTCATTGAAAATGTTTAATTGGCTCTAAGTGAGTCTTCTGCAATGTGAAATAATGCATGAGCTATACAGTTGTGCTGCTACTGTGCGTTCTGCACGTGTGTGCAGCTGCCTTACTGGTGTATATAACTCACACTGCTGTTGCCTGCCTGTCTAGGGTGATAGCTTCATTATTCATGGTTGCGTGTAGACAGCAGTGCTTAATCTCTGGGTTGAATGGGGCAGCCTGTGACTCCTGTAGTAAACGCTCCTGCTTGGTCAGCCTATCTGGTCTGTGTGGAGGAATGAAAGGGCACCAGAGAGAGAGAGAGGGGAGGCCGAAAGGTGGTTACGGCAGCTTCATTCCCTGTACTGCTGTGATGTTTGGAGCCAGTTTGTGGCCAGGGGCAATTAGCTTGGCTGGACCAAGGAGCAAGGCCATATATTCTCTGTGGTGAAAGGGTCTGGGCAGGGGGTCTATTGGTGCTGGACAGGTGCAGCGGGAGGAAGGCGTCAGGACTTGAGGGAATCGAAACCAGAGATGAGGACAAACGACAGCGTCTGTGGCTCCGGGGTCAGATGTTCTCTTTCACCCATGGAGGCTCCAGTCCACATTGAGAGCCTCTTCCTGTTCTGACACTGTTTGTCTTTGTGAATCTACAAGCATCTGTGCATGAGTGCACGGTTATCTATGTGCATGGAGAAGGCATGTGTGCTTAAATATGTTTGTGACCCAGGGGCAACAAGAACTGAGGACGTGTTTTGAGTTGTAGTAATCATCTGTCTTACTTTATCTGGCTCACACTTGCACCAAGAACACTGGGAACATTTTTTTTTTTTGTTTAAACACCCATGTGTCCACTATTATTATACAACACCAACCATGAAAAGCTTTGATCACTCAAGTGTAACAGTGGTGGTAAGAGAAAATCTTGCCATGATGTGTTTTGACAAGTTTTTGATGCCAAAAGTTTCAGCATTGATTCGTGTGTGCAATTACATGGAGGAACAGTCTGGGCTTTTCTGTCTCTTCTGTAAAGGGGACAAATGTGAGTCGCTGCACCGGTCGTTAAAAGGAAGGAAAAGCGGTGTTGTCCGACCATGTCATGAATTTTTCTGCTTGAACTCAATAATCCAGGATACAGCCATTACAAATCCTGCTGTCTTGACTGGAGACCCCAGACAGGAGACAGGCTCTGAAACTTGGTTTCATTTAGCATTCCTCTGGGCTTTACGGGCAGGTGTTTAGCATTACTGGCAGGATATTTATTGCCAACTTTAAAGGCAACTTTTTTGCTTACCTCACAATTAGGCACACACACAAACAATGTGTGTACTGTAGATGCAAGCACACATGTACATGCACACATAAAAACACAGAGATACTCTTTGCATGCAACAAACTAAGATTGACAGCACAATGGAGCATAGTCTTACTTCTTTTTCTAACACTGTCACTCTTTATGCCTTTTGAAGCACAGATACACATCCTAAGAGACCACCTTTGACCCGTGACCATCTCTCTCTCTCTCTCCATGTATCCCCTCCCCTCATTCCCCTCCACCCATTATGCCAGGTCAGTGTATGACGTGGAGTAGAAATAGGTCTCGGAGGCACGATGGGGATGTGTGGCCTGTAATTACCGAAGCTTAACGGGGCCAGTGGCTGTGATGTGCAATTCTCAAATCAAGGTGCAGCCTGAAGACTCAGCCAGGTCTGACCGCTGCCCTCTGCTACTTGATTGCTGGCAGCTGGGTGAGCCATGTCAAGTGGCAGGCTGGGAAATGTGAAATCCCAGATAAAGCACAGAGCCCTAAAAAGCCATGAAGCTCTAGTAATGAGGAAAGTGATGGGGTTTGGGGGTTTGGACATGCTTAGCAGGCAGGCAGTAGCCAGCAGTAACTCTTTCTACCGTTCCCTCTTTTTTCGTGTGTCTGTATGTGAGAAAGAGAGCAGAGGTGAAGGTGTTTGTATATTTGACTTTTCTAATCCTGGATTAAGAAGGATCCACCTAACTCCAACAATGCAGAATTGGTGGGTTAGGTCAGCACAGGTCTAGATACACCCACCCTAATTCCTCCTGGGTCAAACTCAGACATAAATCATAAACCTGCTGCACATGCTTGTGCTTCTCATGTTTTTTTCCAGAACCAGTTCCTTTGAAAGTCCTGGTAAAACCTCTACAGTTCCTGCTCAAACAGCAATTCCTGATATTAATGGTGGCCGTCTGAATCAGAAAGATTCTAAAGAATCTGGAGCTGTTGTAGTAGTTAAACACATTCCTAGTTTTGTGGAGGCCATTATTCCTGCTTCTTAATCACCCCCTTGGATTTTATAACCTCCCCGAGCCGTATTTTGTGTGGCTGGGGGGGGGGGGGGGGGCACATGTGGGCAGAGACCAGGAAATAACCACACTGCCAAGTCCCCCATCTAAACTAACCACCACTAACAACACGCAGGACATCTGTAAATATATCATCTCTTTAAATTCTACAAATTAAGACACTTTAACCTTTGATGCCTCTTTTCAAGCACGTTCTTTGAATAATTGTATCATATGCAAATGTATTTTACATATTTTATTAAACCTCGTAACCTTCACATGTTGTCAATGTTGTCATTTTTTTTTAAGAGTACAAACACCACAAAGAGAGCTAATATATGAACAACATTTTAGCTGCCTGACTCTTAGCCTCATGCCATTTCGTTCCTGTCAAATAAAATAAAAATCCATAAAAAACATATTCCTACTTGGCTGAGATATATATCCTAAAACCACTGGGGACTATTTTCATTTTCAGATTTATACAGATTTGGTGCAACAGGATGGGAAGAAATGATCAAAACCAAAGTGCCCATATCTAGTATAACAATGAGACATGTAACCCTGTGCAATAACTTTACCACCGTTTGTTTTTGTTTTTTGCAATAATGGGATGCGATATTTCAGCCTTTTGTTAAACGAACAATACTTATTAGTAGGAGAAATTTCTCGTTTGTTTTGAACCTTTCATTCTTTTTTTTTTATAGTGCAAAAAAAAACCATGAAATGTTACCTGCCTTTTCCTTGAATGTTTTTCTGCCAATGAGATTAATTTAAAGTTACTACAGATTTATCGTAACCAAATAGTTCCTATAGATAAAATATTGTCTCTGAATCTCATGATGAGTTCAAGGCCAAATTGAATTAGAGAGAATGATTAAGAAACAATCCCAGAGTTGAAAATGTAGTCAAATATTCAGCAATCTCTCTTTTCTTCTTCCCAGGGAAATAAGAAAGAGAAGTGTGACTAGGTTGTTAAAGGAAGATCTTTTTTTTTACTTATTCCAAGCGGCTTGCCTTCAGCATCCAGCTTGTATTTGACGGTATATGTGAAGCGGCTTGTCTGGCTGGTGGTTTAGTAACAGTTAACTGAAACACCTGGGTGCTCAGTCACCAAACAGCGCCAGTTTGCTGTGACGGGTGACACACTGTCACACCAGGTTTGATGCTGTAATTTACGCAGGTCACAGCCGTGCATACTGTTAAGCGGGGTGCGAAGGGGAGGGCCATAGGGAGTCACTGCTTGTTTACCCTGTGCCTGGTGACCCCCTGCCAGCAGCTACATCAATTATCACCTTCGAGGAATGTGGAA